TTAATATCTCGGGAACCATGGAGTCTAGGAGGCTGAAATTTTAGGGTAATGACCCCCTGCCCACGCCCAAACTTGCCCATTCAAATTCAGCGTTCCCGCGCTCTCGGGCATCACCTAGGGCCTAGTGAAAATTTTGGCGGGCAAACTATTAACTCGGGAATCACGGAAAGATGTTCACTTTTCAAGGTTTCGAATTCAGCTCCCATGCGCTGGTGCGTGAAATTTTTAACTATTTTCCAATGTTTGGACTATTTTTGCATAGACTAAAGTAAAAAGCAATGAAAATCATTAATAGGCAATCGTTCAATGGGCTGAATTACACAAAACGCATGGTCGCACCGGCTAGTCTAGTGCACGTTGCTATCTACTTCTTTTTTTTTTGCTTTAGGTTACATGTCCCAGTCTTTTGATTTTGCCTTTTTCCCTTTTATTCAGTTCAGGTTTGTTCAGGCTCAGGTTTGTTTTAATTTACTTTTCTTTGTACTGCCGTGTCGGTTTATTTTCTTCTTTATTGCTGTTTGTAATTCTCACCTCGTACTCCTGACTAGCACCCTTGTTCTCCTCCTATATCCTGTCCCAATCCCTGCCTCCAGAGTCACATCGGAGCACAAATCACCTACCACCCCCAACCACTGCCGTCATTTACCGTCTTAAACTCCTGACAGCAAAGTCACTCCTTCCCACTCTTCTGACCTCAACCTCAGCTGCGCCCTTCGAGCTGCATCTGGAAACCCATCAACCAACACCCATACATGATCCAGCCGCCAGAAACTAGGTAGCGCTATCCAACGCGTCTGGCGAAATGCCGAGCTGTTCTAGCGAACGACGCCGCGAAATAGCGTTGGCAGAGATGCTAGAGAGCTCCCCAAAAGCCATCGACTATCGGCCGAGTCGAGCCGAGTTTTTGTAATTGTCCTTCAAAGGCCAGTATGTCGCAAATTCTAGCTACTGTGATACGTTGCAACTTTGCTACAGCGCAAAACAATGCAAAAACGCATGATCGCACTGGCTCGTTTGGTACGTTCTAGTTTGAATTACAAATATTTACTGTATCAAAAACGGTTGGAAATTACAAGTGAGAAGATTCGGGACAACAACGGAAATAACACGGAATAACAAATCTCTCAATGCCCATAAAAAGGCTCATTTATGAATGCACTGACTAACAACAAAACAAGGATGTATGTTCATCACAAAACGAAATTCTTTGTAATTCCTCATTCCTTCTGCTACCTTAACTATTTTTCAGGTTCACGTAGCATTGAACAAATTGAAACCATTTTTTCCCTTGTACAGTGACTGAGTAAAATCAAAACAACAGTGTCACAGACTTGAACTTATATGTGACCTAAAATACGCTTTTAAATCCCAGCCTGTTTTCCTGTGACTATGGATACACGTATAGACTAATATTATTGATTCACCCAAACTACAATCTATCTCACTGAAAACAACAAAGGCGTAATTCTACGAGTCTCAGAAGGGCATTTGTCCACCATGGAATCCCAAATAGAAGTCTGAAAAATTTAACAAAAGGCACCAAAAATCGATGGTCACAAGTTCCTCCACTTTCTACGAGCGGTCACAGAAAGTCAAAGAGGTATATGCCTTTCTGTAAAAAAACTAAGATTACAACTCGGTTTTCTCCTTCGGCTTTTCTTCCTCGTCCAAATCGACATCTGA